TTCTCAAATACGAACGACAGTTCACAGTGTGTCTAATATGGACCCACATTACGTCAACAATGCTTCTATGAATCTTTTTTTAACATTGATTTAAAAAAAAAAAATCCTTTTTAAATAAGTTATTGTAAATTCATAATTCTCGTTTTTAAGTTTTCACTTGAATAATATTAACACGGATAATTTTAAAAAAAGAAAGTTAAAATTGCTGGCGATAAGACAAAATTTTTCCAAAATGCCGGAGGAACGACAACATAAGTCACTTACCATAAAATGGTTTTCGGGCAAGCTTACAGCTACTATCTTACTTAAATGTTTTTATTTGAATTTACATGGTTATTATACAGTATTTACTTCCCGTCTGCATGTGGTTGAGCTCCAAAAAACTTGTTTGAAAAACCAGTGACGCCAACGGGAATAGCCGGTCTAATATGTATTACTTAAGAACATTAAGAAAAAAAAAACTTTTAAAATGAAAAGAAGAAAGCATTATCCATGATTTGATAAAACGGGGTGATCCTAAAGTAAACTTTTTTTTATTAGATTAAGAAGCTAAACAATAAATTCATTAAATGCCAAATATTTATAATCTCTTGTATAAATTGTCTAATATTCAAGGTTTCTGTCTCGGTCTTGTCTCCTAATTCTTTGATTTATATAACAGTTTTTTTAACATTTTAGTGGTTTATTAAATAATATAATGAAGTGCCGTAGATTTCAACATTTTATTTATTTTTTAAAATAAATTTAAAGATTATTTATCGATTGAGAGCAGCGTTCTATTTCGATTTCTTCATGAGCTTACATTAGTTTATTTTTCTTATTTCTTAAATTAAAAAATTATTTTATTAAATTTTATTTCAAAAATGTGATAAAAGGACTTGTCAATTGTCAATTGTAATAATGATTGTGAGTATTGTTTTTTAAAATTTTAAATAATGATAAATAATTTCATTGGAGTACAGTCACCAATGTTTTATGGTTATATGTTTTTTTAATTATTAAAAGCCCTTAATTATTAAAAAATTATTAAGAGAAACTTCAATTCAATTTTTTTTTTTTAAATTGATTAAATTTTTATGTCTTGTTAAGTTCTGTCTCTTTTATGAATTTAATAATTTTGTTGAAGTTTTTGTGGTCTTTAATTAATACTTTGACGAAAAATTAAGGATTCTCTATATTGGTCATTTTGCCGATGTGCTTAGGATAATTTCAGTTTTAATAATTTACGTAAATACTAATAACTTAATTAATGATGCAGTTAATGATGATCTAAGTGCATCTATACATTTCTTGCATTTGTTTGTTATGTTTTATGAGATTTGAAGGATCAACTTAATCATAACTTTCCCTTGATTTTTTTATTTCAGCAAAAATTTTTTATTTCTTTTTTTTTATTTATTTATTTAGACTTATAATATTCTGTCACAGGGACAATAATTAAATTAATAAATGAACACATTCACACCGTATATACAAAAAAAAAAAAATTAACAAAAGTAAAATAATAACTAAATAATACCAGCAAAAATTACAATAAAATTATGAAGTTGACTTAAAAAAAAATTATTTTATGAAAATTAATGTTTATTGCTATTTATATTAAAATAACAGGCATAGTAAGTCCAAAATTTCGATGCCGATACCGTATATCGCTGTCAATATAACCCAGTCGACTGACACTTGTCCATCTAAGCGCACATCCACAAATTGATCTTTACCTCATCTTTCTTCAGATCACTTATTTTCGAGGATTCACAGATATTTTTGAGGACCGCAGGCGTTGTTCTTACTTTTAAATGATCGGCTACGTTTCAAACCAGTTACATAATTTTGAAAACTATAATTATTACAATTAGTAAGTTATTTACGCTACTAGTAAGTTAGTAAGTAGTCAGTTGTATTAATTTATATTCAATAAGTGAATCCTTACTTACTGACAAGCCTCTAATAGATAAAATTTGAACAAGGTGATTTTAATTACACAAATATTTAAAGTAAAGTTCTTAATTCAACTTTCTAATAAAAAATATTTTTCAAATATTATTAGAAATCATTGTTTACACTTAGCAATATTACAATGCCAAAATTAGATACGCTCGTAACCGAAACTTACGTAAGCTAAGTTAATTCTTTTAAACAGTCGGAGATAAAGCACGACTACTCGATATCGGAAACAAAGATACAAAAAAAAAATGTCACTTCAAACATTTGACCGTATTTTGGTACAGCAATATTCAATATAGATATGATACGAAAACGATTCCATATCCAATATAGGCAATGAAAACCTCGTAACACTATTTTGTTAATTAACAAAACATAATTAAATGTCTATAATTACTACTATAAAGTTCAGTTCTTACTTATTAAGTTATTAGAGATATGTATTTACTTCCGAATCCTTCTTTGCTATAGAGCTCCAAGTCTGAAGTTATGGGTTACTAGTGAAATTACGATGTTTTCACTGGCCATCATTGGTGTTACCCAAATTCAAGACCAAGACACGTCTTGGTCTTACGCACTCAGTTTTGGTCTTGGTCTAGAACTGGCGCAAGAATCTTGCACTTATCAATTAGCTTATTGCTATTTATTAAACATGTTACTTTAGATATTAAGAAAAATGCAATGGAATACGTACAATTAGGTGTTTTATTGACATGAACATAGTAAAGTACAACTATATTAATAAAATTAACTTAACAATACATTACAGACATTGTCGAGAAAGATCCATCATCCCACCTTGGAATAGAAAATCTCAATATTATAGAAAATCGATATGTCACCGATTACTTAAATAAAAAATGTGATATGTTCACTCACATGACTTTTCTACTGATTTAATTTTTTTTTTTCAGTTTTGTATATGTTCTTAATAACACAATGGAATTAGACTAATATTGGTTCTACCAATTATTTTCATATAGTAACTAAACTTGTCTAGTATTACTAACTATTTTTATTCAAAAAACCGATTTTCGGCAACACTCGCTATCATCCATACACTACTCCTATAAAAAACGGTTATTAATAAAAACAATAGCAATAAAGCCATTGAGTATGTAGTAATTTATTTTATAATCGTCTTTATCTGTGTATTCCGTTTACATACTTCATAACAACTTCATATAGGAAATAAAGAACGAATTTTTAAAAGCAAATAGTAGCCATTCGGAGTAGGGCTGATAACAATAATGGTTATTATCTAAGCCATTATTATCTTTATAGTATTGTGGCTGTGTTCTCCCACCGACGGAGATCCAGTCTCGCATGTCCTTTTAAACTCCAACTACTTCCCTTTTGAGACTCAGTCCGCTATCCTTCCTTCTTACCAGGCAAAGTGCAATCATGGAACAGCATCCTAGTTACATTGGCAGACTTTCGATTTTGATAGATGGGAGAGCTGGACAAAAAGCAAAAATGGTGAGAATTTATATCATGTGTTAAAAATTCAATTTGATTATGATGAAAAGAATACTGAGATAATATTGAATAACAATACTAAATGTTTGCAAATAAATAATACACTGTTGAAATTTTGTGGACCATCTTCAAGATTACAGCTTCCGCAGTTAAATACTGTATAGCATGAATAGAATATGATTGCTCACTGAAGATGACTTAAGAACGTTATTAAAATTAGGAATGCTTGAGATTAGAATAAAACTTCACTACTTTAAATATTATTTTCAAGACATTTCAGTTATCAGACCATCTTCAGTTGATCTTGTGGTTCTGAAGTAAGCTGTTCCTAATAATGCATATTAAATTTTTTATCAATTGTATACAGCGTAAGTTTGGGAGGAATGGTCCTAACGCCAGAAGTGGTTGCACAGAGAAACGAGGTGGTAATGCACAAGCTTTGATCTGCTTAGTCTAAAACAGAAAAAAAAATGGTTACATACAGAAAAATAATACACACATCGTCTTCAAAGGGCGACAGTTGCACTCCTGTTTGTTTCATGTATTCTTTTGATGACGCTTGCCACATTTTAATACGTTGAATTAGTTCTTCCCAAGTCTGCACTTCTACTTTTTATACTTCATCCTTGAACCAGCCAAATAAACAATATTCCTGTGCTGTGAGGTCTGGAGATTTTGGAGGCTAACAATTTGGACTACTTGGAAACCTTTTATCCAAATGTGACTTATCCTGATAAATAAAATGAGCGGGAGTCATGCTGGATGTGCATTTGCATTCTGATGTTTAGTGGAACATTCTCTAATAGTTCTTGCGATTCAAATTGTGAAAAAATCTATAGTCCCTGGTACAGACCCCTTTTTATCAAATTATTAACACCTGGCTGAAACTTCGTAAATAACTTCATCTCTTCGTAACCAACAAATATTATATTTACAAAAATTCTTGGGATTGGGGCATCGGATTTTCAATCTGGACGTTGGCAAACTTTGTCTGTTTGATTAGGTATTAAAACCCCGTAAATACCTATTTGCTTTCCACTTGGATCCTGAGATAATTTGATCACAAAATCTATAAAAAAGGTGGCCAACAAAAATATTGGACCGTTTGGCCCATACAACCTCGTTATTTTGACAATTTGGGGGTGTAGGTCACGCCAAACGAAGGCCAATTTTTTGTTCAAATTATCTTACAATCCAAGAGAAAATAAAATGGGTATTTACGAGTTTTTAGTACCTAATTAAACAGACAAAGTTTGCCGACCTCCAAATTGAAAACGCTTTAATTACGAGAATTTTCGTAAATAAAATATTTGTAGGTTAAGATGAGATGAAGCTATTTACAAAATTTCTGCCGGATGTTAGTAATTTGATAAAAATGGATCTGTACCACGGACTATTAGTAGTCTGCTATAAGGCGTAATAAAATACAATTTAAACAAATGAAATTAGAATAAGAACATCTATTTTATGTTAATAAGAAAATATTTTTTTTGAGTTTTCAATTGAGGAATTTATTTTAAATACAGCTTGGCTGATGAATGTATTACTTATTTATTTTTTATTTTTTTAACCCACAGAAATGCCTGCGGAGTGTGCCGGAAGTGGTCTCCCGAAAGAAGCAGGACGAGCCGAGCCGAGGAACCCTGGCTCGAGTCCTGGGGCTGATGGACCTCTCCCTCCTCGGCGTGGGCTCGACCCTGGGCGTCGGAGTCTACGTCCTCGCCGGAGCGGTCGCCAAGACGGACGCAGGCCCGGCAGTCACCTTATCCTTCATGGTGGCAGCTTTCGCATCAGCTTTAGCAGGTTAGTCTTCTCAATTTACCCTGGACTATTATACCTAGTGTTGTCCAAATGCGAAACCAAGACGAATCTTGGTCTTGAACCCTCAGTCTTGGTCTTGCGTAAGAGTCTCCCAACAGTTACCTATTACTATGAGATATAAATGTCATTTTGCAGATAGGGGAAACCTAACTAAGCCTGAATGAAAAATTGGAAGAGTTTAATGCTAAAGTATATTGGTTATACCAATTCTTTACATATAATAAAATTGAAAAGTATTGGTAACTATTTTTTTTGACCAGTCTTGTTCTTGGTCAATATTCAGGCGATCTTGGGCAACACTAAGTATACCCCTGTGACAACCATCATATCAGATAACTACCTCGCTCTATGGTTCATTCGACTTATAAGCGAAGGCAGCATAACATGTTTTAAATAACCTAATAAAGTTTAATTGTAAATAATTTGTTTTGGCGGGAATTGCGAATAGCCTTCCGCTTTTATATCAGGGAACTACGTTATTTACACTTGTGATTATTAAAACAAAACCCCGACACTGGATATAGACTTTTTGAGGATGTTTAACTGTCGTTGGGAATTCGGAAATGTAATACCTTTGTGAACTGAGTGAGAAGAAACAATAAGAATATATATATGAAATGTGGGACTTAGTAAATACACTTTGAATGAAATGACTCACCTGGTTTGTTATTCTTCAATCGTGAGGCATATAGGACAACTAAATAAGTAAATGACTTTTCACTCCTGTATAACAAAATAATTTATTTCTACAACTGTAATAAATTGACTCTATTAAAGTTTTGTAACAATAGACTTGGTCTTCTAAATCTTGTAGTTAGTTATCTTCCCCGGTATGTAGTTCCGCCTCAAGTCCTCTCGCCTCCGTATCACGGCCTCAAGTGCCTCCTCTTCTCTTCTCCAGCTGTTCTACCTGCTCGGTCCTTTCAGTACCTCCAACCTTCTTCCTTCTTCATCGATTGTTTATTGATATGAGACTTTTCAATGAATAATTTGTTCACTGCATAATTAAGTACAATTCACAGTGCAACCTCACATTCCTATATATTCCTTCTTATTCCCTCACACTAAGAAGTCAATACAGGGGGCTATCTACCACAATGTTGTTCATATAATCATTCATTCATTATTGGTGCGACAGACGCATGTAGCGGTCCTCGGCCTGCTCAATTTCCTTTGCCCAGTCATCCCTGTTGGCTGCGCACCTGATGGATATCCCGTTTTTTCTCAAGTCTTCTTTCACGTTGTCTGTCCATCTTGCCTTCGGTCTTCCCCTAGACCTAACTCCCTCTGGCTTCCAATGATAAAACCTTCTCGCTGTCCACTCTACATCCATTCTCAGGACATCCTAACCATTTCACTCGTTGCACTCGAGCGAATTGAAAGATGGACAAATCACTGTACATTGAGTATACCTCCTTGTTTGTTCTGAAGCGGGGAACTCCTTCCTCCAGTTTAGGTCTTATTATCCGTCTTACTATTTCATTGTTCGTTGTTCGTATAGGGACTACACACAATTTAAAGTAATAATTTACTTGTGGGCGGGGTGGCCGAATGGGCTAACGCGTGTGCATTGCACCGCCTTTGCCCGGCAACCTGATACATAACACTTTGATAAAAATAGTCACGAGTTCGCGTCCCGGTGCCCGGAGGAGGTTTTAAATCCTCGTCCACACTCTCTGGCCCGGGAAAACCCCCGTATAGCCTTAAAAGCGAGGAAGGGGAGGACAAAAAAAAAAAAAAAGTAATAATTTACTTAATAAGTTATTAGCTTGTCCCACTGAAAAATAATCTTCTAGTTTAATAGTTAATAGATAAGGCACAGTTGAACTTATACTAATATCATTATTGTACTCGCTCAAGACCTAATTCTGATGCATTTAAGCCTTGGTGTGTAGTTCTCTGACTAAAAGTTTAGAAGCCTACTACTGAGAGTATAGAAGCCATTCCTGGAAATGTTTTGTTTAATATATCACAAAAATTCTTTCTATATTCTCCCAAGCGCCACAGAGAACATGGAGCTATTTTCTATCTACCTTTTCGATGTGTTCGTAGTCCAAGACGAAAATAAAAAACAATATTTTAATTTTAAAACCTAAACACGTGATTAGTATCTCATGACATCCATATCAGCTAAGAGGTGTTCATAAAAAAAAAAAAAAAACAATTTATTTTGAAAACGTGACATTTTTTTACATTAAAACACCGGACCCGATAGACTCTTCGAATCGAAAACACAATTTATCCCATATGACTTTAAAACCATATGAGTGTTGAAACCTCCCATTTTTTCGATGACTTTAATTAAAGTTATTAAAGGAATATAAAGGGGGAAATTAGAATTTGTTAGTTTACTGTGAAATTCTATTCCCTTACCTTGATACATCATTTAACAAAATCCATCGTTCCTGAGTTCCGGAAAGGGATTCTGTACTACACTATTATTAGTGTTACCCAAATTCGAGACCAAGACGAGTCTTGGTCTTGCGCCTATTAGCTTATTACTATGGAGATATTAGTTTTTTTTGTTGTTTTTTTATAGAATAAATCTAACTAAGCCCGAATGAAAAATTAGAAGAGATAAATGCAAAAGTATATAGATTATACCGATTCTTTATATATAGTAACTAAAATTGTCAAGTATTAGTAACAATTTTGCTTTAATTTTTATTCAAAAGTCGATTTTTCTCACCTGCCTTGTTCGTGATCTTGCAACAGTTAGGCGGTGTTGGTCTTAGTCTTGCAATGTGGAACCCAATTTTGGGCAACACTACTTATTATACATCGTGTTTTAAGCAGAAATCTGATCTTATGAAGTAAATATCTTTATAATATATTAATCATTGATAAAAATATGCATGCCATATTTCATTCAACTTGGTTGTTTATTTTGCATAACATCCTTTTGCATTCCAAATGAGTGAATAAGAAAAGGTCATCCTGCAGATTAGCAACCTATTTCAGGCTGAGTCCGAAGGTCGAGAATAGGAAACGAAATGTAATTTAAAATTTCAACACCGATACTAAAAAAATGTGAAAGCAAAATTAATAAAACAAATTAATGTGATTAAAGAGCCAGTGTAATAATTAAAATAAAGAAATAATGCGAATGAGATATATCCTTATTCAAAATAAACTCAAAGTTTCAACTATATTAAGCAAGCATTCGAATAAACAATATACTATCATCAAGAAATTCTATTTATGAAGCTCCGTAGTTTAGAATGACTATAATAAATTATCAGATTGATTAGTAGTTAGTTCACCTAACTTTAAAATATTTCTTCAGTTTAACGGTTAAACAGCTATCCATGAAGTTACACTAACTTGCGTTGAGTAGGTGCAAATGATTAGAGTCGTTTAAGTTCTGTTTCATATTACGAGTAGAATTCAGAAGCTAGAGCTTTATTATAGCTACTTGGATAAGAACCTCACTATAGCATATTTAGATAATATTTCCATTGGGCCCACTTACCGGACTAGTAATCTCCCCACTAGTAGCAGTAAAGTAGCATTACCAGTAAATAATCTTTAGAAAATTTAAATATGCGATCAAAGCATATCTATTTTTATTAAAAATATCAAAACGTCTCTGGGAAATTCAATTCTCTTTTTTATAATATAATTAATAGCGATATTTTAAAACCTCGACCATTTGTAATAAGTTCCCGGTACCAACCAACTAGAAGAATATCCTAAAATCCTAAAATTAGACTCGCATCTTGCCTTAATCAATGCCAAATCCACTGGAACTTGGTACTGATGTCCGTTTCAAAATCTTAAAAACACGTTTTTCCGTATTGATCCAACAACATTGCACCGTCGGAACTTGTAAACCTCTTATTTTTTTTCTGTCGTTTGTTGAAGTTGTACGGATTTGTTTTTGTCACTTCCTCTTAAAATTCTTTCTTGTTTTCACACCGCGTTTGATAAAATGCATAGTCAACAGGAGGCGGAAGACTTATCTACTCTACCATATTATATGTATATAAAGCTTATTAACAAATTATGAGTTATTAAGAAAAGTATTTAATTCTACTTCTTTAAAGCGATTTAGGTAGATTGATTAAGTAAGAAGCAGACCTAAAAAATTTAAAGCCTTTTGGCCTTGGTGAAACACTGCTTTCAAATTATGTATGATACCCTAGGCAAGGTAGATAAAATAAAATAAAATGAAAAAATCAATATAAATATTGTTATAACAGTTCCAATCGTAGTAAATGCAGAGAGGAAGTTGTCCATACGCGACTAAGAATAGGTCATAGCAGGCTTACACACCTTCACTTAATTACGAAAGAAAACCTCCACATTTGTCGGAAGTGTGGAGAGAGATTGACAATGGTCCATATCTTCGAGAGTTGTGCCTTTTACATCAGAGAATTAAACATAAGGGGAATACCAGTTAATACACCTTACGCTGCTTTGGGTAAAAATCTCAGGCAAAATATGTTTTCATGTTTGATATGTTTTCTATATGAAGTAGTAATCTTAAAAAATCTCTGAACCTCTCACTCATCTCTCCCCATCTCTTTTTACCTTTTGTTTCCTTTTACCTTTTTATTTATTTTTTTTTCTCTTTCACCTATCGTGCTAACTTTAAAAAACCAAACTTTAATAACCATAAACAACTTCAACCCTAACGTGCATTTTACGTCTTTTAAATTTTATCCAATTCTTAATATTTACAACCAATAGATATAATAATATATAATTTCAATTAACAGTATTGATAATCAACAGGTTTCACGCCTTTACTATACAACAACCAATCAACCAATATCAAATTAACATTAAAAATTTAAAAAGTGCTTAATTGAATTCGTACTTAAGTTTGGTTTATTTTGAACGATTGTAATCGAACGAGAGAAAAACATCTTCCCTCTCATTTAATATATATTACCATTTATTCTCTGGTACGAATTTTCCACACAGGTCAATTAGTAAAACATCAATCTCCATGAGAGTATTTTTATTTTTATTTTAAC